GGGAGCTGTGTATTTTCCACATTTCACTCCTAAATATGCATCTTATTAGAAGATGAAAAAAAAAAAACAGCAGGCTTCAGTCAACAGAAACACACCAGTGTCAGCTCTCTGTGAAATGATTTCACTCAGATGCAAAGAGTGAGCAGAAAAAGCACTTCAACTAAACATGCCAAATGCTTTGGATGGTTTGTCTGAATCAGCCACATCCTGTTTTTAGCTCCATTAGGTACAACCCAGTATGGTCACTGTGGAACAAGATAGCTACCAACCCAACAGATGGGCAGTGAATGGGCTAAAGTACCACAGTTTGACCAGTATATGCCAATATGTTCAAGAAAAATTCCACTTTATGTAGTTTTGTTCTTTCTATCATGAAAACACTTCATTGAGTTCTGAGAACATGGTGTCATCAACCAGCAACGAGCAGTAGGAGCAGTCAGATAGAGACAGACATCCAGGCATGAACTGGTTTGACATCTCCTTCATCTCTCTGGCAGCCCCAGGGGAAGCCTTTGGCTTTCTATTTTGGCTTTGTTCTGCAGAATACGCATGTCTATTACAGATCCTGTAATGTCCTGAAGGTTCAAATGCCATCTGCAACAATCAGAAAAATTACCTAGGAGCACAATGATTAATAAGAAATGTTTAAGAAATGTGTAAGCACAGCTAGAATAGTTCAAAACTCTGATAATGTTTGCAACCGAGTGTATGGGAAATAATATCACTGTTTGCCTGTTTTCTCTATCAGATAGATTTGTCTACCTGAAGGTTTGCTGCAAACCTGTCTGATCATGTGTTTTGTGTTTCTTGACCTGTGTGACTCCGTTTTCGTGATGCCACTGTGTTTTCAGACCTCTGCTATCAACACAAAGTGACTAACAACTAATAGTAATGCTAGTGATATATAAACATCACTTTAGATCTTTATGTAATATGGTATCACTAAAAAAAATCTATGATTTAAAAGCATCACTGCAGTATTTCTCCACTGATACCTGTGACACTGGGATAGAATGGAGGAGTGAACAACTGCTGAGGATTCTGGTCTATTTGATTTCATTATTCAGTCTTGGCAGCTTCTGGGAACTGCACAAGCCTTATGAAGGGGCTGCTAGCTTACAGTATGACTGCATTATTCACTTCCCTCAAAACAATATCTTGCAGAATAACATAGAACAGACCAGGCTGGATCAGGTCTGTGGCACAATATCAGCCAGTCATACCAGTCAAAGCAAAATGTAGAGTAAAAAGAAAGGTACATAAGAGGTGCATGCGGCGATATGGAAGAACAAATTTCACGCCACTCAGTAGTTTGTTGCCTTTTGTTTCTGAGAGGTCGGAAGCAAATGAGACCCCGCAGCCAGCGCAGGAAGACTAGGAGGCGCTCCTTAAGGTAGCAGGACTCTTCGTCTTCATCATCCGTATCCTACAACAGCATGTGTGTGTATGTGTGGTGCACAAATAGTAACATTCAGCATTAACATTAACACAGTCCTCTTAATAATAATCTTACTAGTGTACATGAATCACATTTAATGTTGTGTAACAGAACACACACAGCATTAACAGTGCTACCGGTATCCTTAATTTTGAACAATGGGCGGTGCCAGACATAGTCTGGATTATCTAGCATTCAGTGTATGTTTATGAATATTTTTAAAATGACAAAATGAATAAAAACTATAATAGGGTTAGTATTTATTCAACATATGCCTGGATGAGAGTCCCACACTGGCAGAAGTGAGAGAGGTGAGTTTCAGTATTTGTACTTGATTTAAGAATGATCAGATTTTTCACCAATCAGTTGAATGATTAATGTGCTTCCATCTTTTAGCACAAGATGGAAGTACATGTATGATCTTACTGAACAGGTGAGACCACCTACCTTACCCCAGTTCTCTGTGCTGGCACCAGCACCTGTGTCATACACTGCTGAGTGACTGCAGGTGACACCTGTCAAGTCACATTTAACTTGACTTTGCTGCTAAAACAAACGTCAGTAGTTTGGTTTTTAGCGGCAATTTTATTGTCCGTTTTTTTTTTTTTAAGTAATAGATAATTGTGCAAAGCACACTTCTGGTGTACCACCTGTTTGGTTAGACTACTAAATCACTCAGTGTTTAGAAAATATATGATTAAGATGTATTACATTTTGAAAAGTAATTATTTCCAAATGTATGGTTTAAACTAGAGCTCATTCAGTATTTAGCCAGAATAATCTTACTGAAGTTTTCCTTAGCTTTCAACCACATCTTGTGCTCGTCATCACTGAGTATGATGTCAGGTGGCATCAAATGACCCACTTCCACCTGCTATCACATCATGTGTGAGCCATCTTTTTTCTGATGAAGACCATAAAATAGGAGTGAAAGCTGCAGGAGATTGTTCTGTTACACAACATTAAATGTGATTCATGTACACTAGTAAGATTATTATTAAGAGGACTGTGTTCCTCATATATGGTCAAACATTTTTCATATATGTTTTTCTGGTTATCCAAATTGATGATTTTTGCAGTTTGCTTTCCTCTGTGTGCTGCACAGCACTTTGGAACAACTTTGCTATATAAATAAAACTGAAACTAAATCTGAGAAGGATGACTAAGGACCTAGATGTCTTGAACCAGGCCAAAAGACTTCAAAATGAATCTGTGTGAATCTTATTTTTCATGAAAACTGTTGCATTTAAACACTGAATATCACTAATGCTATCATCGGCCATCAGCTTGGAACCATTAATAGCTGTTTGAGAGTTAATATTAGTCTAAGCCAGAAAAGATAATCAGCTTTAATCAGGGAATAGAAAGATGTGTATTCTAAATAGGCTGTGCTGTGCTGTGCTATACTGGCCTGTGAGGCGATGTACTTCTCCAGAGGGCTATCCGCTCTGCCCATGTTCAGCATGGCTGTGTTTGCCTGCTGCTCGGCTGGTGACTCCCCAGTCAGCAGCAGCTTGCCTTTGAAGTTATGTACAACACACACCACCTACAACACACACAAGCACAGCAAATCAAAGAAAATGGACCTACAACCAAGTAGCCACACACGCACACAACACCAACACAGCAGACTGTGTGTAACTGAATTTCAGGGACGGAGAGAGCTTCATGAGCCGCTCTGTTGGATTAACAGAGTAACCCAAGCATGTGTGGGTACTGACTTTTTCTTTGGCATCACTGTAGCTGTGATGATGTGGGGGTTGTATGATCTCCTCCAGTAAGGAGCAAAATGGAATGGAAACTTTACATGGGGAAGGGGGTCACACACTAGAAAAGTCAGAAATCACAAACAGTCAATCAGGTTTCTGTTCTAGTGCTTTGTTCCATTAGACAAGGACCAAACTGGGAGACTCACAAAACTGAACTGGAGTCCAGACTTATTTTCTTTAATTTATTTCAGTGCAGTAGCTGCCAAAATATGTGAAATCTGCTGCAACATCTCCTGCACTAAACTGTTTACCAGTCCACTTTTACTGTTCTTTTTCCTGGTATAAGCAGGCGAAACATCCAGAACTGCAAATGATTCATAACGTAGCTGCCAGGCTTGTAACATGTTCTAAGAGAAGCAACCACATCGTACCAACTCTTGCTACTCTTCACTGGTTAGGACTGATTTTACTGCTTGATTTCAAAGCCTTGAAAGGTTAGGTTTCTTCTTATGCATGGACTATGTTAGTCTAGGAGCAAACCGCTGCTTGAGATCCTCCCAACTCTCAACTTATCACTAAAGTGGACTGGGTCTTTTTGTCCAGTCCCCTCAGCTGTGGAACTCCCTGCCTAATAATCTCATGAAGGCAACCTCCATGTTCTTATTGAAATCTCTTCTTAAAACTCATTTCTATCTCAAGTCTTCTTCCTAACTGATGGCCATTTTTGGAATTGTTTTAATGATTTATGGCGTTTTAGATTCATGGTTAGTAACTGCAATATACAGTAATTACACTACACTACTCATTACTGAAAATAGTAATCATGTTACTAACGTTACTGTTGTTGGTGTTCATGAGGAGGTGAGACAGAGCTTTTCTTTTCTCAGATGAAGACACATAATCCATACCAAATTGAAAAGCAGTCAACTGTCAAATCACGGCCTGGGGCAGAATCATGGGAGGGGCTTTTCATTAACTGCACTTCTGTGCTGCAGTTTGTCCTTAATGCAGCATGGAAAATTCGACACATTACGTGATCACATAAAAAGGAACTACGCCATCATTAACTTATTAACAACAATTATTACAAATATTATTTCAATAATACATTTTTGTACTGTGTAAACTGAACTGAGAAATAAAAATCCTACCAATTTTTCCCCACCCATATTAAAAACAGAGGGATTTGAGGTAAAATAAGTGGCACATAGTCCTGTCCTATCCTTCCATAACACACTCCACACTCCTCAGTGCATAGCAAACAAACATACAGCACCACATGTAACCTTCGGGGATGTGAATCTCACCAGGAAAGTGGCGATGGCAATACCGATGATAAAGCCAGCGATGACGTCTGACCAGTGGTTGCGGTATTCAGCCACACGGTTCAGACCAGTGAGGAAGGCCAGACACATGAGGCTGAGGGATAGCACCGGTTTGGCAAGACGAGTGCCCTTTGCCTGCACTGTGCACGTCACATACATCTGCCAGGGAGGAGAGATGGCAGGATTAGATTCTGTAAAACCACCAAATCATCATTCATCATTAAATCTCCTGGTGGTGGGTCACAGAAATAACATGTCATCAAAACGCCTCCAAACCGCCTCTACCCCTGTAAACAGAGGCAGAGCGGGTTGTATTACCAAATCAAAGTATTGTTTTAGTTTGACTTTCAAAAATATTCTGAATTTCCTTCCTGTGCTCTTAATGCTACAGTGAAATGCTACAGACAGCTGTGACTGCATGAAAATACGAGCTGATCTGTAAACCTTCTCTTTGGGGCATCTTTCTATTTTTTCCCCCATATGAAGAGCAGCGCTGGCAGATCTGCCACTGGAACTACAGAATGAAAAAATATGAGGGTGAGAAAAAAAATAAGAAGTAGGGAGCAGACGGAGAGTAATAAATATAATACATTCAAAAAAACAACAGAAAAGAAAGAAAGCAGTGGCAGAGGATGGTGTCCAGAGGGAGAAAGGCATAACAAATAAATGCAATGAGATGTAGAGGAAGACAAGCACAGACAGAAGGGGAAGGAGAGAGGAGGTAGATTTGGAAAGGCCGGGGGGAGAGGAAAACTCAAGAAGAAAACAATGAGGAGCCAACAGGAGAACAGAAGGGAACATGAGAAAAAAGAAGAGGTACCTTTACTTTACTTTAACCAGGTATTTTAGGCCCCTAATCATAAACACAGCATAAACAAAGTTCATTTGACATACAATAACTGATCAGAGCCTGAGACTGAATTGCCTGTATCATTTCTATTACCAAAATCAAAACTCAGTCAAAATTGGGGATGTCCTGATCGCAGTTTTTGCTCCTTCTCCTATACAGTAAGTTTGATGGATTATATTTATTTAGTTTTTTTATTTGTAATATATCTGCACACTGTGTATTCAAGCTATATCAAGTCCACTTTAAAATTTAAATATGGTTGATAAGAGAACAACTCTACATTAAACAGTAACTTAACAAGTTTAAATGAAGTGTTTCAGTTCCCTCTATGACTGAAAAAGTCAGACCTGTGACCACATCCACCATCACTAAGGGATGTGACACCGCAATAATATTTGGCCCTGATCCTGATCAGGGCCAAATATTATTGCGTTGATATTGAGTATTTGCCAGTAAAGTGGTCAATCTGATAGCTATATTTACCTAAATGGCACAGCTGGCATGAACTTGATTAAAGTGAAAATATTTTCATGAATAACTCCATGAATAGTTTATATTTAGCAATTAATTAAACTGAACAGCAGCACTTGTCCTCATTACGTTTGCTCATGGTGTTTCAAAGTAATTGGCAAGTACAGTAAGTTCTTCCAAGCATCTTGGAGATTTTGTTTGTCTCAGTGTCTTCTCTCTCTTTGTGTAATCCCCCTCCATTTAATTTTTAATTTGCTTTTTTAAAGTGCCTTAGATTTCATGTTACTTACTTATCTACTTTATATTTCATTTGTATTTTGTGGCATTCGTGCGGACAGCAAAGTAAGAATTTCATGGTACAGGGAAACACGTTTCCTGACTGTGCATATGAGAATAAACACTTTAACCTTTGGCTGTTGATAAAGCTATAGAGCTATATAATGTTGTCTCTGTTTGGGGTCATGCTGCAGAAAGAGTTTGATTGATGAGACACCTTCTGCATGACGGATAAGAATCTGAACATCTAAACAGCATGAAAGTTTGCACAGTACTCTACATGACAGCAGAAGATGCAGTACTGATGTTGATTAAATATTTATCAGATACACTAACATTGCATGTGTAACCTGAAAAATCTGACACACCTGATTGTTCATAAGCTCTTTGATCCAGATACCAAAGTCTTGTTCTGTCCTGTCCTGTCTAAATTATTTCTTCAATGTGACTGAAGGTTTAACTGAAGAATGTGGCCCACATGGGCTATAAGACACCAGTGATACTGCTGCTTCCATGAGGCATATCAATCTTGTACTGCATTGCATATAAAAAACTTTCTCTATCCCACATTCTACAAATAATCTCTGCCACATAAAAAGATCCCTTCCTAAAAACTTTCCTAAACCTTTGTGAGGACACTCACTGACATAATGCATTCCCTAGTCCCTTACCCTCACCTTCACCATCACAGCTAAATGTCTGGCCCCAGCCCCTAACCTAACCTCAAGCTAAACTTTTTAAGCTAAAATCTAAAAGCAAATCTTGACCCTCAACAGCCCTTTGAGGTTATGAGCAAAAAACTTTCTCAAAATGTCCTCATAACAATGGTTTAAAACTTAAATCAGTCCTCACAATGTATAGCCATACAAGTGCGCGCACACACACACACACACACACACACACACACACACACACACACACACACACACACACACACATTTTACTTCTACCTTTATGAAACACAGACATATGTATTATATTTTAACTTTTCTTGATTGGACGTTATTTGACCAGACACCTCAACTTGATTTGTCTAAAGAGCATTTCATAGCTGGGTGAACACTCCAGCCTACATATCCCATTAAATGTCAAACATTAGCAGCTGTTGGCATGCTTATTATATCAGAAGCTTGTCAGCTAAATAGAGAGTGCTACATGAAAAATTCAACCTGGGGAGGTGAGTCTGAGCAACTTGTCCTCCCCTCAGTGCTGCTGCAGACATAAATCTTTCTATCTTGCCAAGTTCAAATGGTGTCCTGCGGTATTACTGAGGGGGATCTACTCACACACACACACACCGTGCCTTTGAGCCAGTGCAGGCTATTCTATTAATGTTATAGGCTGATTTACAGGGGAATTTCAAGGAGATATTTTACGACACAGATCTCTTAGCTAGATGTTAACCTTTTATTTCAAATTGTATCACATCCAATCAGACAGGGCCATATCTGGTATGATAGATGCAATCTAGATCTGACTCTGAAAAGACATTCTGATCACAAACACCACAAAATGACTGCAACATCAGATTCTGAGGGATTAACCCTGGTAAAAATGCAAATGTCTTGAAGATTCATATCATTAACTTTTTTTATACCATTCATGTGTGTGAGGAGTCATCAGGATGTCAACATGAATCAGCCAGAGAAGGATTCTGATACATTTAAAATGTTTATTACTCATATGGTGAGTTATGAACAGTGTTAAAATCCTACATGTCAGCGAGCTGAACACAAATGGAAGAAGAATAAACTTCATGTTGCTCTCCGCCATTTCTGGGATTGTCTCGCTGACTATAAGAAGGCTGTAAAATCTGCCAAATCGAGCTACCTTTCCACCATTGTCATCAGTAGTCGTGATAAACCTCAGGTCTTGTTCAGTACAATTAATTCTGTTATCAACTCGTGTAACCTTGCTTCTCATCCCGAGACATCTGTAGCAGTATGTGAGGGTTGTCTTCAATATTTTACTGATAAAATCACATCACTAGCATTAGGCAGTCCTCCAGTTCTACTAATCCCGACCCAGCTGATATTCCTCTGCATTCTGCTGTCTTTGATCAGTTTGAGTTTGTATTGTCGCCTATGCTCTCTGAACTGGTTCACCACATGAAAGGATCTCACTGTTCTTTGGATTGTTTGCCAGCTAGATTGTTTAAGGATGTTTTTGACTCTGTTAGACCTAGCTTTCTGGCTTTAAGGACAGGTTCTGTTCCAGATGCTTTTAAAAAAGCAACTGTCCAGCCTCTTCTCAAACAGTCAAATCTTGACCCTTCAGTGTTCTCTAATTTTGGACCAGTACCTAAATTATCTTTTGTCTAAAGTTCTGGAGAAAATAGTTTTTATCCAACTCCAGTCTTTTTTGACAGATAATGGCATTAAGGAGCAATTTCAATCTGGTTTTAAATCAAAACATAGTACTGAGTCTGCATTATTAAAAATCAGTAACGATATCCTATTGGCTAGGGACGCCGGGGATTCGGGTTTATTGGTGTTTTTAGATTTTCACTGCTGCCTTCGATACAGTGGATCATGAAATCCTCTTATCTCACTTGGAGCAGTGTGTAGGAATTCAAGGTACTTGCCTCCCTCCCTTGGTTGGTGTCTTGGCTGTCTGGTATCCATCCTTTGGGGGGGGGGGGCCTGTCAGGGTTGG